GACCAGCTGCTCGTAGCCTATTCCTACAGAGTGCGCCGCACAACGGCTTTCACTTGCGAGCAATTCCTTTTTTCATTCACAACGGAGATAATTACACGAGAAAAGTATTGTTCAGGTGCGCTGCTAAACAAGACATGGACCCCGCAAATAGGTCTCACAGCACATACAGGCGCGCAGCGGCCAATGGCGGTCCCCGATACGTACCACGTGATAAGCCAGTCACGGTGCTCGAAAAACTTGCAGAAGTATGCTTCTTTTTATTATTTCTTGCACTGCATCAGCGAGAGAAACTGTTATTTGAAGAGTGAGGCTCGACTCTTCGACTCATGTGATCAACAATGGCGAGCGGCGGCGCATTATCGGCGGCAAGGTGCTCGAAGACTGCACAATTTGAACCTTTAAACAGGCACCTTGTGCTCTTTGGACGCAATTTTAAAGCATTTCCAGTCAAGTCTCGACTTGTATTTTTTTGTTTCATAACAGTAGAGGTACTAATCTTATCAAAACAGGTGAAAATAAAAAATCGGTAATTTAAAAAAAAAAAAAAACTCGTTTTTCGACCCGCATCTCCCCTTATAGGTCAGCCTGGAGAAATTTGTATGTGGACCTCCGAGTGCAAGTGCCCCAGCAATTCGCGCACTTGCACTGCTGACGAAGTTCTTGCTTGCAATGCCTACTAAAGCTTCAATGGTGATGTTTTCCAGCCAGAACACATCGCGAATTTCGTCACCTTGTCTGTTTATAAATTCTTTATTTTATCAAAAAGAATGGGTGAATGGTCGCATCATGACGAGTTGATGCAGCGAGAAGCAGGTGACGTGCTTCCCACATGCCACTACTGTTTTGCAGTGAAGATGTCTCGTTTTTCGCTGGCGCGCAATTCAGTTGATCACGCTTTTTTTCTTTTTCGGTGACGGGGGTTAGGCCCGGAATTCTCACTTGTTTGCGGCAAAATTGTGACCAGGTATTGCTGGAAGGTATAACCCTTGGAGCCACAAACTAGCCAGCACAGCAAACGACCATCCCTGATTAATTTGAATAATTTCAAATCCTAGCATCTCACTTTTTGTATGTTCTGTCAATTCTAAAATGCACTTGATTCGAAAATTTCTCATGGTCCCAGTGACTTCAAATTAACGAGGTTTTACTGTATTTTGTTTGCTGCAGCTTTGGTGCATGTGAGCAATGTTGCATGGTCTAGCATGTCCTTGCCATGATGTCTTTAATTGCCGAGCAAGAAAGCACACCATGCAAGGTACCTGTGAACTGCTTCTGGAGGGCAACTTCGCAGCCGTGTTGCCATCACAACTCTTACTTGGGGACGCTACAAGCGGCACATGCGACCAGCAGCAACTTTGTGTGATGAGCTGGTGTGCGTAGCACAGGAACACTGTCCTGGTATCAATTTGGCCTTCGTCTATGCTTCACTCCAGGCTTCCGAGGACATGATGCCCAACGAAGATGGCACCCCTGCATGTGCTTGCCAGGCGCACACCGCATTCAGCTGGCAGCAGGCAGAGGTTGGCGTTCTTGCGAGCCGTCTACTGATATATGTTCATAGCAGGCTGCGACTTTCAAAGTGAACTCGCTTCACTCACTGCATGGCATGCTTAGCTTCAAATAACATCCTGCAATGAAACTAACCCTCGTTCCATCACTCCCGCTACTAAGGGTCGGCTCTTGGATCTCGGCCATCTGGTTTACTTGTGTCCTCGTCTGAAGTCTGTTGACAGCTCGCTCCACTAACTTGTGCAGAGGGCGAAGCATTTGCAGCCACCCAGCTATGTCATAACAGTCTGTATTGACGGTATTGAACACATTCAAAAGCGTTAGTTGCTTATCTGTGCACACATGCAGAAGAGAGGGGAAAGTAACAGCAATTTAGCCTAAGCAAAGAGCCTTCATGAATATTTGTGAATTATGAATTTATGAATTTTAAATTATTTATTAATATATGTTATATAGTACAGGTAGCATATACAGTAGCACATGATGGGAATCAAATAGCGCCGAAGTGAATTTTATAGAACACCGAACACTTTTCAAATGGGCGGTCGGTCACACATTTATTATTCAACAGCATGTAAATGCTACGCTTGGATAAGTCAGCAAGTTCCTGTTATTACATTGCATGTCATGAAATGGTTGGGAAGTAGAGTTCTCTGAATAAACAGGCCACTGGTTGACATACTCAGCATTTTTCAGAGGGTGGCAGCAGTTCAGAGGATATTTGCGCGGCCTGAGTGATGCAGTTCTCCAATCCCCCAGTGTAGGGTAGCCAACCGGATGTCTTTCCAGTTAACCTCCCTGCCTTTTCCCTGTTGTTGCTTCCTTGCTTCCTTCCTGATTGATGCATGAACATGCTGCACCATACATTCCTTCTTTCATATTTATCATTTGTCATGAGGATGATGTTGGTCATACTTTTGCTTATAGGCAATTTTACGAGCTCTTCTTCATGATGTCTTGGTAAATTTCTTTGGTTGACACCTGTAGTCTCACCTGTGTGAAGCTTCTTTTTCTAAGGTTTATTCGCAGAAGCTTTGCTTTCCCAGTTTGTGCTTATGTTATCTGTACCTTCTTCAATTTTTTCATAGCTTTGTATTTATGACTAGTGCATAGAAGTAAGGGTTATTGCTTTAATGTTCGATTTATGGCAATTACATGGCAGTGCTTACCGAGTGGAGTAGGTGTTAAGATCCGTGTTCGCTTTGCCTGTGTATGGTACTATTCAACCCTAAAAGCGAGGTTCATCTGAATCGACACTCAGGGAGTTAGAAATATTTGTGTGAAAGCACTATCAGTATAAAACGCAGCATATCTGATCTATTTTGTAATTACTTTACTAACTTGTAAAAAGGGGGGGAGAAAAAGGAAAAGGTAACAATAAAGCAAGGCAGCTTTTGTACAGTCACGTGGATCTGACATTTCCATTTAAGAAAAGTTATTATAATATACTCACACCCACAAAGTGCAGGCTTTTGTCCATCTTGTACTGTTCGAAATAGCTTTAATTTTAGCTTCCAAGTTTGCAGCTTTGAGTTGCCTTTGTTCAAATATGTTTGATATGACGAGCAGTCCTAAAGCTCTGCAATGTTTAGCCTGTAAAATATACAAGTTCCCACAATTTCACTATCTCCACAACCACCGATGGCACATTAGTTTGCATTCAAAAGACAGGCTTGCGATTAAGTTCAAAATGTACCACATCAAGAGTTGGGGCTATTTATAGCGAGTGTATTTTGAAAATGCGTTCGTATTCATCTATAAAGATGCACAGATTACCAGATACACCAAAATGTAAGTGCTAGCTAAAATAAGTATCTCTGCAATTGCCTGCGCTTTGCAAGTTACTATTAGATATGAAAATAAAGTATGCTTTGTGATTTTGAGTGTTAGCCAGAACATAACAAAATTCTTAAGAGACACAAAGTTTATTGCAGTTTCTTCTTTCGGCCGAACTCGTAGTTTACCTAAAAACGAAAACTTGCACAGCATGTCGTCTGCTATCAGAAATTCATGGGCTCAAGGCAGGGAATGTTGATATAGTCATCGTCTTAGAAGCTAGCACGTCCTGTACTGTGGTGTTGTGTAAAGTGGTCTTGTGTGTAAAGCATGCTTACAAATCCTCCAGATTAGTGAATGTTATTTTACTGGCTCGTGGATTTTTGGATACTGGCACATTTCAAGCTTGTAGAGCACCCTAAATATTGGCAAAATGCTAGCTCGGACCCACACTTTTCCCATTTAGGTACAGCTTTCTGCCGTTGCACTGGCATATTGAAATTAATCTGGACAAACAGCATTGGCTCCATAAAGCATGCACTTGAGGTACTTCAACATTTAATGCCATTAACCATATCCGTGTGGGAAAGGTGCATGCTAGTAGTGCATGGTCCTGAGTAAACTACCAAACTGCATGTTTTTTTATTTAAGCACTGCTCCATGCATGCTTACAGGTTTTCTAAATTAGCGCATGTTATTTTACTGGCTCATGGATTTATGGATACTAGAAGGTTTCAAGCTTGTAGAGCACCCAAAACATTGGCAAAATTCTTGCACAGGCCTACACTTTCCGCATTTAGGTACAGCTTTCTGCTGTTGTGTTAGCATATCAAAATTAAACTGGGTATATGGCATTGGCTCCACAAAGCATGCACTTGAGGTAGTTCAACACTTAATGCCATTAACCTCATCCGTGTGGGAAAGGTGCGAGCTAGTGCACGGTTTTGAGTAAACTACCAGACAGCAGCGTTTTTATTTAAGCACTGCTACAGGCAGTGTCATGCGTTACGAGCAGCCAGTTCCAAGATATGTGTATTTTGTGTGACTTATGATATGTATGCTTGTTGTTTGTTGCTGTTTGCAGTTCTGTAAATTATGCCTTTTGTACTTAGATGTGGTAAATGTTCTTTTTTCCCATCCTTGTTCGTTTTCTCTGTATGTGTGTGAATTTCCTTGTGCTTTATATGCATAGGATAAATTATTTGCCTGACCTAACCGATTCAGCACTAAACAAACGTGTGAAAGACACTGTACAGTGCAGTGTATTCTGAATCTTCTAGCATAGATAGCGTACACTAAATTGCACTGGTGCTTAGAAGTGATGGTGTATTGGCAACCAAGTTACTTTTTTAGCTTGCTTGTGATAGCTTGCAGGCGCTACTAGTTAATAGCAACCATTTTACTGCAGATTTTGGAATCTGCAAGATGTCAAAGTTTGTTTACTTTGCTCACTCGTGCCGAAATTCACATATGTGCTGAATCGTTTGGTCTCATTTTGCCGATAACTGACTTTCGATAAAATCTTAGTTGCTACACAGAGAAGGCGTGACCTTGCAAGCTTTTTCTTTATATATATATATACATATAGTTTTTTCGTGCACAACATAGGTGTGTGTGCAAAGGTAGGCTCTATGCCCTTTCCTGGGATGGGTCATAATGGGGTGGAGATCAGCAGTGGGCTGCATGTCTGTTGTCCGTGTGGGCCGTGCGTGCAGGAAAAGGCTCATGCCCAGATCGTGCTGTCTGCCCAACACCACCAGCACCTGGCTGCGGCTGCATCGACCGAGGATGTGGTGGAAGAGCTGAACCTGCGCAACACTGCCCTCTCCTCCTCTTCAGCGGTCGTGCCCCCATCCTCGACTGGTGCAGAGATAACTGCCCTGCCCTCCTCCTCATCTGCTACACAGCCTACACTACTACCTGCTGCTGCCAAGAGGCATCTTGACAAGGCAAGTGATGCACTACTTTGAGGGAAAGTAGCTCTTTTTGGGCGGTTCGATTTTTTTTTTTTTGTTAAGAGGAAATCAGAGTCTGGGAGGCTAAAAAATTTCCCCCCAAAATGAAGAATTGATTCTTTTTAAGTGTTTTTTTTAATGATCTATAGAATCTGAGAAAAAGCTGTTCTTAAAATACTGTAGCCACGTAATGCGTATTTGTTGTCTTATTTGGTTTCAAGGTCAGCCATTTCTGCTCGTGAAACCACAAGACCTCAAAAATGGTCATATTCGATGCCACGGTACCTGAGAACTATGCCAAGTAGCGCGTTCATTTTGGTCTCATTAGAAAGATGAATCCTTTTTTTTTTGTCTGTTTCGAGCAGAATGCTTTTCGTCTAGCAACAACACAGTCATCGCACATAAAAAAAACCTATTACTCTCACAACATTGGTGCGTTTCTATCACGTGGGGTAGTTCCGGGTGCCTTATTGGATTCCAAGAGATACTTCTGCTACACAGTGGCGAGTAATCCGCAATTTAGCAAAGAGGTCTAAGCAACAGCTTTGCCATCGGTGCGATGGCAGGCAGTCATCGAAAGTTCCGTACTGCTGCTGCGTTCGGGAAGATGCGAAAACGCCGTCCGAGAGAGCGCAGCGTCTCTTTAGCGAGACCCTCTGCCGCTGAGTACACCAGAAAAGCTGGCTGTGCTAACACTACCACGAACGCGGCACCCGTCACCGTGGGCGCGATAACGGGGGCCAGTGATCACATGCAAGCTTTATGCCTTGACACTAACCCAGGGTGTCTAGCAACCGGGAAAACCGGGAATTGTCAGGGAAATGATACACGCCGGGAAAAATCAGGGAATCGTCAGGGAATGTTGCCAAAAAGAGAACCCAGTCAGGGAAAATGACTCGCGACTTGTTCCCCGGCGTGGAGCGTGCACTCAACTCACCGTAATTGGCGCAAACAGCCAACGGGGACAGATCCAATCCAAGCCAGTGGGGCAGTAGTGCCAAGGTTGACAAGTTTGGCCTTTTTTTCTCCGTGGCCTGGCAACCTTGAGCAGTGTGCGCTGGGCATGCTGGGTATACACTTTTGTTGTTTTGGACCACCTCTTCTGTCCGCCATGTTTTGAACGACGGAACCTTCTCGTGGCGGTGTGTTTTCATCGTTTTTTTTCCGAGGAGAAGCCTTCTCACTGACGATGTCGGCGGCGAGAAAGTGCTCCTTTAATTCGGACTGGACGAACTCGAACGTTTCGGAATATGCAAGCTGGATTAAGCCCGTGCAGAATGATCTTCACAGTGCTCATTGCACACTGTGCTGCAAAACGTTTTCTTTAAGCAACATGGGAGGAACTGCAGTTTCCAGTCACGCGTCCAGCAAGAAGCATCTTGCTGGTTTGAAGTGTCGGTCGAGCGCCTCGCAAACTGGTATGTTGTCCTTTTTTACGCCAGCGACGAACGTTTCGGCCAAATGTAGCGAAGACCGGACAGTCACGCCCGAGGAGCCTGCCCCCACCACAAGTGCGAAGACATCAATGAGCGGCTTTCTTCTGAAGAGCGCTGTGACAAAGGCCGAAATAATGTGGTGCTTAAACGCGGTAGCGACTCACGGATCTTTTCGGTCAACAGCAGCGTCGGCCTCGCTCTTCCCTCTCATGTTTCCGGGATGTGAAGTCGCTGAAAAACTTCATCTAGGGAAGGACAAGGTAGGGTATACGATTTGCCACGGTATTGCGCCTTACTTTCGTAAGAATCTTCTATCAAGCCTTGCCGGTGTGCCGTTCTTAGTTGTTTCATTTGACGAGTCGCTGCACAAAGTGACCCAGAAGCAACAGATGGATGTGCTGGTCCGATATTGGGATGACACTACTGATGGCACTGTGAAAACACAGTACCTAACTTCATGCTTCTTGGGGCACACGTGTGCGGAGGACCTGGCATCTGCATTCAGGAAGGCCACAGAAGAGCTCAAGCAAGCCAAGATACTTTAAGTTTCAATGGATGGGCCGAATGTGAACATGAAGTTCCTGAGGTCACTGAAGGAGGAACTCAAAGAGTTGGATGAGAGTCACAATATCCTAGATATTGGAAGTTGCGGGCTGCACGTAATGAATGGAGCATACAAGGCAGGTCATGCTGCAACTGGCTGGGATGTGATAGGCTTTCTTCGCAGCAGCTACAACTTGTTCAAATGTGTGCCTGCACGTCGTGCTGACTACGTCACCTTTACAGGAAGTGCACTATTTCCCCTCAAATTCTGTGCTGTCAGGTGGCTCGAAAATGGGAAGGTAATCATCAGGGCGTTAGAACTTCTTCCTAACCTGCTGAAGTTTGTGGAGGGCTCTGTGAAGGCAAAGAAGCAGCCTACATGCTCTAGCTACAGTGCTGTTGCGAACGCAGTGAGGGATCAGCTGTTGCCAGTAAAACTGGCCTTCATGCTGTCAATTTGTGAGGAACTGGAGCCATTTTTGGCAGAATTTCAGACTGACAATCCAATGGTGCCCTTTATTTCAACTGCACTGCACAATATACTGCGGTCACTGCTTGCAAGGATTGTCAAGAAGGAAGTGCATGTTGCTGCAGACACACCCGCGAAGTTGCTCTAGACTGACTTAGAGAAGCTTGAGAACTGTATTCCCGTACCTACCTTCGACATTGGGTTCGCTGCGAAGAATGAGCTCCGAAAGGTGCACAAAATGCCACAGCTTACTTTGCACCAATTCAAGAAAGACTGTCCTTTGTTAAAGCGTGCTGTCAGAAGGTGGTGGAGAGGTCACCATTGAAGTACAAGCTAACAAGGGGTGCCAGCTGTTTGGACCCCACATTTGCATTGTCTCCGGAGGCTGGCCCAAAACGATTGACCCTGGCACTTGAAGTGCTGTCAGAGCAGCAGTGGATGACTGGTCTGCAAGCAGAGCGGGCCCATCGTTCTTATATAGAGGTCTGTTCATTGAGCCTCAACCAAGAAAAATTGAAAAATTTTGACAGTAAAGAGCAGAGGCTGGACATTCTGTGGCCAGATCTCTGCTCACATGATCACAAAGAGCTGCTGTCTTTTATCAAGATCATCCTCTGTTTGTCTCACGGCAACGCTGCCGTAGAAAGAGGCTTCTCGGTCAACAAAGAATGCCTCGTCGAAAACTTGAAAGAAGACTCGCTGATAGCACAACCACTGGTGCATGATGCCGTGTTGGCGGCAGGCGGCGTGGAAAAAGTTCTAATTACTGACAAGATGCTGCAGATGGTTCGGAATTCCTACAGCGTCTTCAGAGAGGAACTGCAGAAAAAGAAGGCAGGAAGACGAGTGGAGTCAGGTGTTCAGAAGAACAAAAAAAGAGGGGCTGCTCTTGTCAAAGAACTGGAAGAAAAGAAGCGAAGGCTGCTTAGTGACTCGCTTACGGAAGCTAGTCTCCTGCAAGGAAAAATAGATGCTCTTAAGAAGTAACAGATGAGTGCTTCAAGAACTCTTGTGCAGTGGCTGACACAAACAGCAGAAATCGATGTGTGTTTGCATAGACTTTGTGCAATAATACTCTAGTCAGCGACTACAATTTGCGGTGAATTATTTATGTTTGCGCTCTAAATAAAACAATGTTTTGTCGTCTGCACTAATGATCTTACATGTATTGCCGCCTGTGCAGAGGTCAGGGAAATTCACTTGAAATTGTCAGGGAAAACACCTGGAAAAGTCAGGGAATCTTAAAATAATAATTTGCTAGACACCCTGCTAACCTGGTTTCTGACGCTGAAAACTTGGCCCTCGCGTGTCGTGCGAGTGACATTCAGGGACACCATTCGTCAATGTCAGCCACACGAAGCAAGTGGTCTTTTTTCAGAGGCTTGGCAGCAGCCCTGACGACTGGAAGACCATTTGCACCAGTAAGGTTAGCGATGGTGAATGAACTGTTTCAGTTTATGAAGTGTGGGTGTGTGGTGGGCCTGCCAGTATTTCCAAGGAAATCGGTAATATGGCACTGCCACGAAACTTCTGCTGATGTGTGATGATTGCGGAGAACTGAAAACTGTATGGAGCTTGCCAAAAGTAGGGGGGGGGGGGGATGCAGTGCGCGGCCCTATCGAGATCATGTTATTGGTAGATGCGGCAGTGAGCACCGGAAACAAACTGCATTGAATGACATTTTTTCCACCCTGAATATTTCACGGAGAGGCATGGGGGGGGGTGCCCACAAAGACTTACCTGAAATTGAGAATTAATTATGCCTCACAGGAGGCTGCCACGTGTTATTGACTGTGTGAGCAATGTCAAAACACAGTATGCCGATCTAAACTATAGAAACGCTGGAAACTTCAGGTGGACAATGAAAAGAAAGCGCACTAAAAACAGTGATGACAATTACACTCCTGGTGGCTTTTAGCATCATTACTGCACCGACTTACAAGGTTCATGCGGGTCCTTGAAATTCTTGAATAACCTTTAATTTGAAAAGTTTGTTTTCAAGGCCTTGAAAGTGCTGGAATTCTAGCAAATCCTCGAATTTTCTTTTATTTTAATGAACATTGTCACACATTTCACAGCGCATTATTTGTGAACCCTTAAATGTAGCAGGTGGCGTGTGCAATGTGCCCATTACAAAAGAATTGAGAACATCAGTAGGTTCTGCACGGAACCGAAATCGAGCATTTCTGGAAACTAGAAAAGGCAGGAGCAGGAGGATGAAACGGAAAAATAAATGTTGTATTGTGGAAGAGGTCGAAATGTTGTCAAAAAAAAAAAAGGAAAAGAAACTAGAAGCTGCTGATAAGGAATTAACAGCTACAGCAGACTCGTAAGCAAGAAAGGCGGAGACAATCAGCGGCTTGACGTGCTTCATCAATTTAAACAACCTTAGGAAGACTGCCAAGACCAAGCAGCAGGAGCTAGTAGATATTGATAAGAAAATTGACAAAAAGCAACAAGGCGATGCATTGTTACTGTTCCTTAGTTTTCCTATCTGAATGAAAGTTTGCAACTTGTGTCATACTGAAACTGATTGTTTATGCAAGTTTAAGAAAGTGATTGAGAGTTGCAAGAAATCTTGGCCCTAAATAAAGTTAACTGTTATAAAATTGTAATCCATGCACATTACATTGTTTTTTTTCCTTTTTGGTGCCGTTCCGAGATATTCCTGCCCCCCACCACCACCACTTTGACGAAAATTTTGAGTTCGTTGGGGGGGAGGGGGGGGGGGGGCTTGCTTAAATTTTTACAGTATCTGGAAGCTGCTGCAGCACATAGTGAAGCATCAAAATGATTTAAAGTTATTAAACATAAAAAAATGTAGAATGCACAACTTATAAAGCAAATTCGTTCAATACATAGCTAATTTTCAACCTTTGATGTTCAGTGATGGTACTGCAGAGTATTTTCGATGGTACAGTGGACATGTTGACTGCAGGTGAATTTGTCATGAGAAACTAAACACCCCATGCAGTAGGTAATCTGCAAGTGCTGCCAATATGGCAGATGACGATTTTGATCTTAGAACCCACTGGAGGTCTTAGAGGAGAAGTCTTGCAGCAGGGAAACGATCTGGAGAGTGAAACAAAACCTACCAGAGAGTATGTGTTTATGGTTTGGGCTAGTTTGTTGCGCTGTCTGTGCTACAGAAATCTGCCAAACCTAGGTTTTTTTGTGGATTATTTGTGCTACCAGTTCTAAATTTCATCTGCAGATGCATTGAGATCTGTAGAAATGCATGATCTTCAAGAAGGCACAGCACTTTGCATTGAAGCCTTATTGTGAACTGCATTGGCAGACTTCGAGGGAACTATAAAAATGCCGTGCTGCAGGAAAACAAAACAGACTAGCAGAAGAGTTATAGCACAGTTATTTTTACCCGCTGAAAGGTGATTCCTTTATAGACCATCTATCAAATATGGGAAATTCAAATTTGAAATTGTCAGTGGGAATAGGTGCATAGAGGAAGTGAAATGGCAGGTTTGCAGGTAAACCTGTAAACCTCCCATTTTCTTGTACAGAAGGCAGTGTAGTCATAACGTCTGGGCTCATTCATTGGAAATTATATACTAGTCCTAATTAAAGGGGCTCTGCAGCACTTTTTGAGCATGGTCGGAAAACGCTGCCAATCGGTAGTAGAGGCTACAGCAACATGCGAGCCAAATATTACAGTGCAGCACGCGGCCTGGAATTCACAAATTATCAAAGTCCGTTAAAAATTGCTTTCTCTTTTCTCAACAAATAATAAAAGACGCTCAAAAATTACTCTTAAAAAGCCCATCTATCAGCCATTGGCTGATTTGAATATGGCACCCTGGGTCGTTACAGAGATCGCTGCAACTTGTTCACGTGTGCGCGCAATTGCACTGGAAAAGCCGCACATTTGAAGAAAAAGAAGAAAGCGCTCAAGGTCACGGGGCGCTTGTGACGTATTTTTTTTGCCCATGCCCATCCCTCTTTGCATAGCTTCCAGCGCCTTTGTCGGGACGAGAGAAGGAAGAATGTGGTTGCAGCCTGTGACAAGACATTGTATCTCCGCTCATACTGGACGGATTCTTAAAATTTTTGTGGTGTTGAAATCGTGAGGTCGTAAGCTATTTTAGTGAATCCGTTATATAGTTACCTGAACAAATGTTTCAGGGCACCTTCAAAATGGTCATGGTCGTAATTTGTTTTCTCCAGGCAAAGGCAAGTGGTGGTAAGCCGCAGTTACCTGCCGGAGCCGTGCCATGTGTCAAGGATGCTTGCAGTGGTATGGTGTGTGCGGCAGCAGCAGGAGCGGCGGCAGCCGTGGCAAGCACCTGTGGTGGGGCCTCCCTTCTGAGTTCCTTTGGGGCAACACCCCCACAGGCTGAGGGACTAATGGTTGCCGCTCCTGCACGCACGCTACACGAGGCTTTGGGTGAGATTGTCACTGGTGAGTGAGTCCCTGTTGCAAGATTTCCTTGAAAATTCTATTGAAAAGTATAGCACTGTATTGCGCATATACATACAGTTAATGCATAATGATTTTACATTCAGTGCCTAAAACACAGTTGAGGTTAATCCCCGAGAGGGCTTTCAAATAGCCTGATGTATTGTGGCCTCTTTTATGCTTGCAAGTAACTACACCCTGTAATCACTTGTCTTGTAGTTGCGTTATGATTTATGATGTGATGCATGGCACATTTTCGTGAAACTTCTTGCATGAAAAGACCCTGCCTGGCCCCTGCATTTGTTGCCATTCTCTCTCTCTGTGTCGCATATAGCAATTGCTTTCCTTCGTCATTGTATTATCAAAGATTCAGGATTTCTTGATTTTGCTGGTTTTTGTTGCTCCTTGACTCTTCTTTGCTTCATTAAGGGGGACATGGGTCTTAGGGTTTTCTGATTTATTTTTCAACCAAATGTGACAAACGTTGGCATGCTTACTCAGTTTGTTCTTCCGATTCTAAATATGTAGTTATTTTTTCTGTAGGTTCATTATTTTTATATTTAATTAAGATAACAATATTTATTGTTCCTACTACAATAGAAAAATAGTCACCAGTTCGAAATCTACAAATAGCGAGGACTCACTGATCGCACCGCCTCCGCAGTCCCTCTGCCTCGCTGGGAACCCTTACTTACGTTCAACGAAATAACAAGGCACTTCTATCTGTCAAGAAGGGTATTCTCCCTCCCACACCCTGCCTTGTGCACGGCGCAGGCAGTTACCCTTGGACTATTGCGAGCCACTGCGTATCCTAACCCTGCGGTTCTTCATTATATATACCCTGAACGGTATCCAAGTGCGGATTGCCCCGCCTGTGGACTGTTAGCAACATTCAACCATGTGTTGTAAGAATGTGAAGCAATCGGCTCCACTTTCAGCGAGGACAGGTGAGCTGCGCTCTTACGCAGCCCCGAACTTAACTATCAAACCCTGGCCATTCAGAGTGCCCGTGAACGGGCCGCCAAACTCGGCTTGACGGTCCCTACGTGGGATTAGCCGGCTAGCCCGGGGTCTCCCCTGCGTCTTCTCAGGACCAAAATAAAGGTTTAATCAATCATCAATCAGCATAGGGATCAACAATAGAAAGCACAAGCCACACAACATAGGGAGCACATTTTTGATGGGGTCATTATTTTTTACTTTACAGTACACTAAACTTCATAGCACTGAATGTGGGCATTGTGTGGTCACTCAAAAGACCAATTTAAAAAGCTTGCATCAAGAGAAATCAAAATTGCTTCCTGTGTTGTGTGCTCCAAACATATAGCTTCATTCTGCAAAAAAATTATTCTGCAATCTCTAATAGTTCCAATATATTGCAATAATTTTCATGCAGTGTGTACAAAATTGCCATTTTGATAAAAAACAAGAAAACAGAATTCTAACATTTTTAACCGTAAAAATGTACATACCTAAAATTGCATAGTCATTAAATACACATATATAGATACTAGAAAGGCTAAGAAGTGTAACTCTGCAAGCTGATTGAAAATTGAATGAGTACTTCCGGAATTACAACACAATAAAGTTTATTGCATGTAACCAAAAACACTTTTTGATATATCGTAGATTATCAGGTGCACGCGCCGAAGAACATACCGATAACACGTGCCTCCACCCCTCGCCACGGCGCATGCTCCGGCCTCGGGCCAGGGTATTAAAACCAAGACAGCAGCCTCGTGAATAAACATTGTTCCTTCTTGTTCTGGCCATGCATCGTCTTATTCTTCGCCCTTACGATACTACAGTGGCGACGAGGATAGGATCCGGTTAATTGCACTCCGACGCTGAGACCAGAAGAATGGGATCCCGACCCCCTGCCTTCGACGACGCCGTGAGTAGCTGGAGCACGTATCGTGTCCGGTTGGAAGCCTACTTTGAGGGCAACGATATTACCGACGTAGCGAAACGCCGGGCCCTACTGGTTTCATCGTTGAGCGACAGTGTCGTCCGGATATTGCAAGGGCACCAGCCGGGGGTCGCCATCAACTCCTTGACGTACGATGACGTTGTGAAATGCTTGGAAGAACATTTCAACCCTCAGGCAAACGAAATAGCAGCAAGCTATTCTTTCTTTATGCGAAAACAAGATGAGCAAGAAAGCGTCCGGGACTACATTGCTGAACTGAGAAGACTGGCCGTAAATTGTAATTTCGGGGCGACACTGGACCGTATGTTGCGGGACCGAATCGTTTGTGGGATTCGGGATGAGGAAACGCGCCGGTGCCTGCTGGGCCGCAAGAACTTGACTCGTGAAGAAGCCGAAGAATTCGCCTTAGCTTCTGAGAAAGCGAACGAAGACGCTCGGGGCATGCGTACTTCATACGCCCGGACCGAAGGTGGCGGCGTCAACGTGATACAGCAACAAGGCAGACAGTGTAGGAAGAATTGCAGCCTTTCATGCGACAGATGCAAAGGGGCGCATGCAACGGCGTCCTGTCGACATCGCAGATCCATATGCCATCAATGTGGTAAAAGAGGGCATCTTGCTAGGGCTTGCAAAAGACCCCACACCCCCAGGTCAGGAACGTTCGCTGTCGACGGAACCGAATGTGAAAGCGAAGAAGAGAGGTTGTATGCTCTCGTTGCACACAGTTCCGCCAATAAGCACTTGGTGCAGCCAATCGAGCGCACCTTAACGTGGGAAGGCCGTAGGCTGCGAATGATTGTCGATACTGGATCACCAGTAAGCGTGATTCCCAAAAGCTTGTACAAGAAGCATCGCAAGTGGTGGCCGGCTCTGCAAAAAACTCCACTACGCCTTTCATGTTTCCTGGGACCGTTGCCGGTCGTTGGCAAGGTAGACATGCAGGTACAGCTTGGACCAGTAACGGTGAGCAGTTCGCTGATAGTAGTGGATCATCGAGGGCCCCTTTTGTGCGGAAGGGACACGATAGAGGAATTTCGCAAAGCAGGCATGTTGCTAGTAGAAGGCACGTCGTCTTCGGTGAATGTGGTTCACGCCGACAGCCAGCTAACCGCACTTCTTGATGAGTTTCCGGACCTCTTTGAGAACCTCGGATGCTGTAAGGGACCACCGGTGAAGCTGTACCTCAAGGAAAGTGCGCAACCTCGATTTCTGAAGGCTCGGACAGTCCCGTATGCCATGAGAGCGCAAGTCTCCGCCGAAATTGACCGACTGGTGGAAGTGGGCGTGCTGTCCCCAGTGAGCGTGGCTGAATGGGCCGTAGTAAAGAAGAACGGAGACATCCGGCTGTGTGGGGACTTTAAGCTAACAGTTAATCCAGCGACAAGAACAGAGCAGTACCCGCTTCCGAAAATTGACATCTTTGCGGCGCTATCAGGAGGCGAAGTGTTCAGCACACTCGACTTGCGAAACGCATACAACCAGCTTCCCCTGGATGATGATGCTAAGAAGATAACTGTGCTGAATACACACAAAGGCCTCTTCTGCTACAACCGCTTGGCTTTTGGCATTGCCTGAGCGCCTGCGCTGTTTCAGCGGCGCATAGAAGCCGTGCTGCAGGGTATACCAGGGGTGAAAGTTTACCTGGACGACATTATTGTAGCAGAAAAAGAGTATGACACAACGATACTGCGGCAAGTGTTCGAACGACTTCGGGCAAACGGCCTAACACTAAACAAGGAGAAGTGCCACTTCCGGGAGAAAGAAGTGGTATTTCTAGGGCACCGAATCGATGCAAAAGGCCTCCACCCACTGCAGGACAATTTGGAAGCAGTGCTAGCGGCACCGCCACCGACTTCGGTAAGCCAGCTTAAATCATTCTTAGGACTGGTCACATACTATTCCAAATTTCTACCGAACTTGTCGTCCACTTTGGCCCCGTTACACCGACTCTTGTCTAAAGGAGCACTGTGGTGTTGGGGGCCCGCCAACACCACAGTTATTATTATTAAATAATACTGTGGTGTTTAAGAATGTTGTAAGAATGTGAAGCAATCGGCTCCACTCTCAGCGAGGACAGGTGAGCTGCACTCTTACGCAGCCCCGAACTTAACTATCAAACCCTGGCCATTCAGATAATATTTATTATTAAATAAAAAAAATTAAATTGACCATTAAAAATCTGCTCTTAGCATTGTTTTTTATGCACGTTTAGCTACACTGTGCAAAAAGAATTAGAGCTCTAGCTGTCCTAGGTCCACTTTTACCGAACGTGCAAAAGCAAGTGGTCAAAATCTGTGCTTCGAGAAAAATGTTGCTGAAACTTTATTTCGCCGTTTTGAGTGAGACATATTATGGCACACATACTTTTAGTCAGTTAATATGCACCGCGAATGTAATAGGACTGATTGTTTGCACGAGCGTGTAGTTTCTTCAAGTCGTGTAGCAAGTTCTCGCTGTGTGCTCGTTTGCCGCAAGGCCGCTTATCAGTTCGGTGCCGGTACTGACGGCGATGTGCAATGACTGTGCACGCGTCATCCGCAATCCGTCGAACAACGTGGCGATGTTTTGTGGCTTGTGCAGAATGGGTTACTTGTTAATGCCGCGAACCAAACTTGCTTCCTCGCCCATCAATTTCAAGACTACTTGAGTGTCGAGGTGTTAGTTTCTTTTTCACGTAATACTGCCGCATTTTCGAGTGGAAACTGTGACAACGTTGCGAACACGTCATTAAAAGCAGTCTACCTGTTGCCAGTAGCCTCCATTGCGCAGGCGGCAAGCACGTTCACCGCGAACGGATTGACTTTCTGTTGTTCGTCGACGTGCAGCATACTCCACTCTGACGACCCGTCACGCTGTTCAAGGTCCTTTTGTCAGGCAGGGGCGGCAACCGCGGCATCGGCGCGTTTAGCGATAAGACTGCGCTTCCGTTCCGTCACTACAAAGATTGATACCTCTTGTAGCTTCACCTCTGCTTTTTACTTGCCGTCCTCTAACTGATGAGGCTGCAAAAAACACAGCCGCTCTCAGTAACATTGTCGCCAACCAGAGGGCTCGTACGTGAGTTAGGCCTACA